GAGTTCTATACGATGTCATCATCCCATTGCCCTATAATTGCTTGTAACGTGTGATTAACCGATTTGAAAAAGGTCTTTCAAGAGGGTCGAAACGTTGTCATCAATGCATTGTGTTTTGGTTCTCATTCGTCGTGGCTAATACAAGCTTATTTCCTCAGTAGTATAATTGTGTTCTACGAAAAAACGATTGCTCCATTTACGCTAATGTGGGTTAGAAATGCAGGATAAAATTTCAATTAGTTTCAGTGTGATTGCTTCTTCCTAGCTCGGATCTATGGTGTATTGTTATCCGTACAACAGTAAACGTCTGTGGCAACCGCAATTCCTCTGGTTGCTCGTTTCGGCTTTTAATTGGTGGCTCAATCACTTTTGATCTAGGACCATCACGATAAGACTGCATTCTAACGTGATGCGTTGGCTTGCGTGTCTTCATGACCCTGTGAGCTACACAGAATGGCTTTTCACAACAGCAGATCCAGTCTTCCCACAAAGCCAGCTGATTGGGAACATGGATCCCTTTGATTATTCACTCTCGCTCCTGTAGAGGTCACTCCAGCGAATAAACGTGGGGAGGAACAGTTTACTGGTCAACAACCCCTCCCAACGGTGGGAGTTTCCCCTGTTTATTGGACAACTACCTCCCGCCCAAACTAGGCAGTCCCTCGCCAACAAGGTGCTGTCGCGCTCACGGTCCACCTGCCTGAATGGGTGCACATGGCCAAGAACCGGTCGCTAACAACGGACCAGCGACTAACACTCTGAACTGAAATCCGAAATCCTTGCATGACATTTCTTTAGAAGACCCACACACATACACGAATGCTTCGGTCACACTTCTGTGTCGGATCTACGCCCGACTGCCTTTTGAATCATACTTAAGTTGAAAGCTGCGGTCAGAGCTCCGCAAGAAAAACCCATCAATTCCCGCTGTCTCATGGGTCACACTTTTGTGTCAAGAGCTTCGTTCGTGGCGTGTATGTCACGCCTTTAAGTATCAGGCACCCACTTGTATCACGCTCTTTCTAATGTGTTTGGTTTTTTTCCTCACTCCCGTATCATTCCAGGTGCCTTCTGTTTCCGTCACCCATGAGATATCACTCAGAGTTCAACCAACAAGGTCAACCAATCCGAAACTTAGGGTTGAGTATACAAATGCTCTTTCACTTAGTTGCATCAATATCTGCACACTCCACCAACCAAGCTTCCCTAGCTAGAACCCTTGAAGTTTTCAATTTAGACTTAAGTGGTGTCTCTAAAACATGCATCTAAGACCCTTCTTCATCACCCCGAGCTCACCTGACCAAATCTCATCCTTACACTTCACTATCCGCTTCTCAGACGATTTGGCATCTTATGCTCCCAATGTTGCTGGTATCGGGATTGCGGTCAGTGCCAAGGCCGAAAGCTCACTTCCTGATAGGATTCCATTCAGCAACCAATTGTGCTCTGTAATTCTGGATTGCAGCTAGAGAACGAAGCTTTGATGCTTATTCGTCGTGTCCGTGTGCATCTGAAATCAAGTAGGAATTCTACAACGATCATCCTCCATTACTCCAAACTGTTCGGTCAACGGACAGCGTACTAGTCGCTCGAGACCGCCGTGCCTGAATGGGAACCTGGACGAGTCAGCAAGGTGCCTATATCCCACATGTAACCTGAACCAACCGGACGGACAACGGAGCTCACCTACTACTACTACTAATCTGCGTGGACCACATATTGTTTCAATCAAGCACCACCTCGGATACGAAACTACTCAGTCGTGCCTGGAAACCGTCCACCTCTTCACAGCGATGGATTCGAATTTACCTCATCGCCATCAGCCACCGCGGGCGAGGATCATGTTTTGTTACGAGCCTACAGCAGTTGTAATTACAAGTATAATATGCTTCTTGTATGTTGATCTCGGGACCATTGTAATCATGGATTAGAGAAACCGATCGCGCTCGTGCATCTCAATTTCTCTACAACCTTAGTCTGTCGGAATCAGCAATTCCAACTTTGATACCCCTTCATTCAAATTGGCAGCCAAAAGACGACAGCTATAACCGCCGCACGGAAGTGCATGCGTAATGGTTATACAAACTGATAACTAAAACTCTGGTCTCCAAATACAGCAACGCTTACGGATGCGTATGCGTACGGACGTGAATAAA